TCAATTTTTAGATTTGGCATGGGGGCTGGCAGGCTGGCAGCAAAAGGATAAATAATTCTTCTCTCTACCCCGGTGAACTGCCCATGAGTGTGAGCATTTGAGAGAAACAGAGAGGGAAGTTGGGAGGGAGGGAGATTTGCAATCTATAATTCAGTTATTAATATTTCATTGGCAAGAAGGTCAGAATCTGCATTTAAATGAAAATATATTTTGAAAAGGAGAAACCTAATATTTTGAGTCACTGGGTCTTTTATTGCTCCACAGAACTAAAGGCTTGAACTGTGCCGGGTTGTCAGATGATCAGGCACAAAGAGGATTATCAGCAAAACATGGAAAGGGAAAGATTCAACCATTAGTCTCCATCAATGTTTCTGATAACATGGGCTTGCACTATTGAGCTGCTTTTAATTTCAAAGTCCTCTTTTAAGGCACACCTTTTCAGAGTATAGGAGAAGAGTAGGGGGGAAGAACCCGGACCTAACTTAGAAATGTTACCTTGGAAGCCAACATTGTAACTGACATGGAGAAACACAGAGATAAACAGAGGCCAGAATCCTCTTGGGGAAGAGCGGAGTGCAAGATTAATCATGTGTGTTCTCTAATGTGCGTTGTTCAGGTGCCCGGGTGAGCACTGTTACAGAACTGATTGCACAACCAGTTACATAATTAATTGTGACAAATTAGGCTCCTACATAGGGTGGGTTTTTTTGCTACCGGGTTTTGGCCAGTTACGTTAGGAGAATGGTATGGTATCTCCAGACCTGACCTGGGTGGTTTCTATTTATGTTACACTAGACGCCCATCATGCATGGCCAGTCACACCAGGCTGAACACTTTGAACATCCTGAAAACATCAACAGACTCTGTTTGGTTACTGTTAGCTGTTGGCAGTAGCTCATCATCGGTCGGTCTTTCTAAGTCCCGTACTCCCATAAACAAAGGATATTGCACCTGAAGCACCAACTACAACTGGAACAATTTTTGTTTTTATTTTGCTATAAGCCCTCCAACTGAGTTTGTAAGTCCTTGTAATTGGCAATCTTTTCGCATTCTTCTTTTCAATTCTAGTATCTCCTGCCATATCTACTATTCAGACCTGCTTTGTCTTCCTCTGTCATCATTATTATTATAATTACCTCAGCACAATTTTCCCTAGCCGGGTTCTCTCCATATATTTTTCAATTAAAATTCTTATCCAACCTGACACTTGGGTCAGCAGGCTTAGATATTTGGGAGTTGTAGTGCAAAAGCTGATGAGGAAGATCGGCATAGAATATCTTTAATGAAAAGAGAAGAACAATTACCTTAACTTGGTATCTGGTTTAGGTATCTGGCTGCAAAGCCCAAAGTTGAGAGTTCAGTTCTTGACGGTGCCTCCTTGATGGGCAACCTACTGTACATAAGCTCAAACATAGGTTGCAGAAAAAATATGACATGTCATAGAAAGCAACACACCCCTAGTGCTATCATATATTCCCCTTAGTCGCCTTTTCTCAAGGCTAAATATGCCCAGTTTTTTCAGTCCTTCCTTTTAAATGTGAACGCAGTTTTTTCACAAATTTAAAAAAAGGGCCTCTCAAAGTTAAAACTTAAAAATAAGGAAACAAAATGGACAGATTGCTTGCTTTCTCTTCTTACTGCTGGATTGCTTCCTTGCCAAGTTATTAGGAAATGTTACAGCATGACTCTGGAGTTCCCCCTTCAGTTTTACAAGAAAGGAGAGAGTTATTTGCCTCTCTTGATGGGCTCATAACCAATCTTCCATCCCAGCCATGTTGCCCTTTTATGTAACCTCATTAAAGTGCTGTAAACAGCAATATAAGTGATGTCACAGCCATTTGTTTTCATGTGTCTTAGCCTTTAATAAATCAGCAGCTGCTCCGTTAATAGGAATATTAGAGGGCAGGGTTGGCTCTTGCCAGCAGCTGCTAGTAAATGAAAAATCAGTCAGCTGTAGTTGTTGTAGGTTTTTCGGGCTGTTTGGCCGTTTTCTCGAGGTTTTTCTTCCTAACGTTTTGCTAGTCTCTATGGCTGCCATCTTCAGAGGACAAGAGTCAGAACTCTGTCTGTGTTCTGGTGTAGTGTGTGGGATAGTTGAGTATTTGTAGCTGTGGGATCAGATTTTTGAACTTTTCAGGAGATTATTATGATCAGGGTGTTTTTTGTTTGGGTGTATTGATCTGTCACTGTGATTGATGGGTGTTGTTAACTAGTCTTTAGTGTGCAGTGATTTTGTTGAATCGTTATTACTTGCACAAAATTTTGCAACATCTGTTCGCACCAAAAATATGTTCTTTACTTCTGTTGTTGAAAGTATCACAGAATACCTTACCTTTTTTAGGATAAGGAGAAATAATTTTGCAGTTCTTTGTTATTGCAGTTAAGGATGAAACAACTGAAGATTTTCATCCCTGTGGCTATTCAGTTGTGCAAACTGAGTGGACAATCTTGCAGAGTTGTGAATTTTTGGTAAAACAATAGTAAAACTGTTCCCCAAAGTCCACCCCTTTCTCATTAGCTGGTACTGTACTTACTGTCTCAGTAGCTCACTCTGAGACATTTGTAGGAGAAAGAATAAACATATCTTTACTTACACTTGCTTGTAATTACAGACTTTTGTATACTGCTTTCTTTATTGCATACATACTAGCAACCAACCAACCAAACCAACAACAAACAGCTGTCCCCAACTGACAAAAGAGAGGGATAGAACTCTCAGCAGAGATATGGTGCTTTCTTTTAATTTCAAAAGCTGGAAGGAACCATTGGTTAGTACTGGATGGATAAGAAGTCCTTCCCAGTCACTCAAACTACAGAACAGCATGTGAGGTTGTAAATAAAACTCCAAAACAATCAGTCACACAACCACAGTGCAACAGGAATTCAGCCAAATAGTGCAAAAACCTGCACAGTGGTCATTACACATGTGGAAATCCACAACAGGTATTTGCCATAGTGTTAAGCAACTGGGCATTTCTTTATTTTTTCCCAGTCCATGTCCAGTTCAGTAGTATTTCAATGGAACACTTAGCATACTTAATTATCAGAGCAAAGTGCTTAAAATTTGTTTTCTTTTTCCCAATTAATTGCCTCAAGTGGAATGTTAGTACAGTACAGACAATTGATTATTCCCATCAGAGTACTGACGTTTCCCCCAAGATACACTGCAAGGTTTGTCTTGGAAGATCCATGCTCAAATTTGGCAAGATTATATCTCTTAACTAAACTAATCTCAAAGCTTTTGAGTTACACAGTCATTCAGAAGACTCTCTACGTGTTCAGAGTTCGCCTGTAAATGCTAATGCATTCTGAAGTAGGATATGAAGAGTACTCACTAAATTCCATGCCACCAAGTGATTAAGGCTGTTTCAGCTTGACAATGACAACTTGAACTCAATGATTCTGAATGTCTTCGAAGATTCCTCTCCTCTAACTGAAAGTGAAACAAGAAGCCCACTCCCCTACTTAAGCCCCCTTGGTTTGCACAAGGATACCTTTCCAGAACCAGTATATGTTTCCCTTAAGAATCAAAACACATAGGTATCTCTCTCTCTCTTTGTGTGTGTGTGTATATGTTTTACAGTAGGACTGCAGGATCTGCAGAATCAGTACCTGCAGTTTCACTTATCCACTGCCCCAAAATATTTAAATAAAAAACCCAGAAGTATGCTTTTCCACAGTGTATTATCAGAATTGACCATTAGAGGGAACCAGAGACTATGCTATATATAACATTTGTATACCTGCACTTTTTAGCATCCACTCGAAGGAGTTTGGAACCAGTACCCCATGGGTACCGCAGTCCTACTGTAAGTAGTTCCTTAACTGTCTTTACGTGCAAGAACAATGGTGCACTTGCATTGTAACTTTGAAGGTGGTCCTGAGTCAAGTGATGCTCCTGGGAGATTAGATCACTGTGGTAGTCATGAGTATCACTGCACCAAGTGCTCCTGTTTTTGAGAAAAGGAGATCTGGAAAATAACTGTGAGCAGAAAGACAACCTTGCAGCCAATGTTTTCCCTTCTACAATCTTCCCTTTGTGTGATCAGTGCCACAGCAATTTGAACTTAGCAACCGGTGTTAAGACATGCAGAAGCGATTCTGATCTGATTAGCTTTAAGATACTGTGAAAGTGAATATGTCTCTGACTTGTAAGTTTAAATAATGACAGTAAACAATTGTGTGCCACTAGTAGAAGAGGGCTTGGAAACGTCCTCTAGTGCAAAATGGAATGGTTGGACTTTATTGGAAGCGTGCTTTGGAAATGCCATGATGGGGGTCATTGCATCGACTTCACAGAGACGTAAGTCTTCACTTGTTCTCACATAATCTCCAGACCTACAGGTGCCAAAAACACATGCATCGATGAGAAGTGTTATTGTGTAGACCTAGGAGACCTGTAGCCTTGTGACATGGTATCTGTAAACAGCTAGAACCAACAATGGAACAGTTGCATGGGAGACCTTCAAGGGACAGTATTGGGGGGCAGGGAGTTTTGCCCCAGAAATCCAAACTTAGCCTTTATGTTACTTAGTGTCCGTGCATATTTCAGGGGCCAGCAGCATTTTTAAATTTCATTTTTAAAAATTCACCACTAGACATCATGGAATGCTTTTTCAATAAAAAAAAAAAGAACATTCTAAAAAGCCTCCTGGAACAACCATATTATACAGATCTGACTTTTAATTACCTGAGATGAATAAATGTGTTTTAATCTGTTTAATTTGACTGAAAGTTGTAGCTAGGGACAGTTTTTTATGTATTTAAGTACTGTATTCATTGTTAGGTATTTGTTGTATTTATACACGTTTTTAATGTGCATTAAAATTAGTGCACCTGGAGAATGTGTGTGCTATGGAGGGGTATACAACCTGGAGATGGATGGATGGAGTGGATTGGAATGGGTGGGGCATGGGAGCAGTTGAGGTGCAGTCCTTTGCACAGCGTCCATTCTAGCCTAGAGCTTAGCATTCTTCTGTATCTCCAAGATGTTCTGGTGTCCCACGGACACAATTAGTCCACCAGCTCCAGGAATTGTTCAGAAAGATAGTCTGTCCTACAGCAGGAGATATCCCTCCAATGGAACTACGGTTGGTCCACTCTCATGTGCCTCAAGCTTGGTGGCCTCTGGTCTTTTGTGTTCAAGAGTCTCCAGCATTCAGGCCTTAGATGTTCTCTTCCTTTCCGGTGCTGCTCAGGCATGGTGTCTTCTCTGATGACACCCCCACTGACTCTTCAGGTTCCTCAGCTGCTGAGTCCATGCTTACAATTCTGGGTCATAACAGCAACAGGAGAGAATATAATATTAGGGCATTGCAGAGGGGGAAAAATTCTAGGAGAGAGATTTATTTGTGATGGAGGAGAACGAGGAAAACAGTTAGCTCTCTAATAAAAGGAAGACACACAGAGAAGCCTAAGATAGGAAGAACAGTGAGAAATTAATAGAGGAATTTCACAGACACTACTAGAAAAAAAAGGATTGTGGGGAAGATTGATTTAGGGAGGAGGGAAAGAGGCTGTATCAGAAAGCAGAAGGAAAGGGGAAAAAGTAATAATTAAAGATCAAAGGTGAGTAAAGCCAATTAAAACACACCACATTCAGCCAGTGACCTATTTATTGCTGAACATACACTGTCTCTCTCCTCCTTCTCACTGAAGACCAAAACAGTAAGAAACAGAGGCTGGAATCTTGTTGTGCAGTTGTGTAAATGGCGTAATTTCTGGAAGCAAATTGCCACAAATTAAGAAGTTTTTTATAGATATTATCTGTAGCATACTAAATGTTGTGAGTCAGTGTGACGCAGATAAAGTCTACAGAGATTTCATAAGGCAATCTGTTTCTAAAAAGCTACACAATTAGATAACTGCAACAGGATTTCAGCCCATGAGTCATCTGACTTGTAATCCTTCCCTAAAGTACAGTGATTAAAGAAGCCCTCATATAATTTGCCCTGTGATTAGATGGTGCATCTGTCACTCTTCCCAATTTTCCACGGGAACTGGGAATATCCTATTGGGCTGGTGGGGGTGGAGGAAGAAACAGTCTTCCCTTGCAAGACATGAATTGCCATATTAACTATGGAATAATACTATTTTTCAATTACAATATTTACATCAGTATTGGTTGCTTCCTAGGAAAACCACTTCACCCCAGGGAGCATCAGCCACAATCCAGAGGAGGCTGGTTTGGCGTGGATTTGAGTCTTCCTCTAAACCTCAGGTCCATTCCCACCAAGCCCTGTAGCTAAATCAGGCAATTTATAACTTTATGAGACAAGATAAGTGCTTTTAAATAAAGGAACCATAAAAAACAGATTTAGTTTGAGTTGAAAACTTGAAAAATGATTCTCATGTGATTTACAATGAAGTGGCTCCTTCATTCTCCTCTTCTAAGCAAAACGTTTGGCTTTCTTGTGTCAGCAGATTTACTGACGCTCTATGGGCCACTGATGAATAAACATTAAAAGAACCTTCATTATTCATTACCTCCCTCCTGCGTGTGTGCGCGTGCATATACATGCATGCATTCTATGGTGTAAAATGGCATTAGCTTCCAGCAGTTGTCCCCTTGCTGCCTAAATGACTCTTGAGTTTGCATTGTTTCAGAGAATCTGTTTTGGACAACCCACTGGCAGCCATCAAGGGGTTTATTTTATTTTATTTTATTGCTAGATTGCCACAAAATGATTATGTCTAATACGCTAGGATGTACTGTAACTTGATTTGATATTTGAAGTTTATGTTTCTGTCTGGATCTCAAAATTGCTCCATCCTCACCGGCCAAGCTGACACCAAGCCAGATAACGCTGCCTGAACGAAAACCCTCCTAGATGTTGGAAATTACTCTGGGCTGCCCTGACCCCTGGCCTAACATTGTGCTGGGTTACAAGCAGTAATGACAGCCTCCTTCTACTCGTTGGCAAGCCAATGGGTGAGCAGCCAATTCCAACTCCTCCTCTCTATTCATGATCAAGCGGCAGAGAGGTGTTATAGGGGTGTTTCCATACTTCTATAGTATGGAAGGGATGACCGTCTCATTTTCTGGCACTCTGCTGCAAGAAGATGCTTGTGCACAATAGATTTGGGGATGGCACCCACATTGTGTCTGTGTCGGCACTCTGCCTCTTGCCACAGGTAGGGGGAGAACGTTAGCTGCCCCCGCATACTACCTCTTTCACTTTTATGAATCCTTCCTTGAAGGAAGCCCTTGCCTGTGGGTTGAAAGAACAAAGAAGCAGAGATGCAGTGTAAACTGAGACCCGAGTCTCCACTGAGAATAGAAAGATAAATGTCAGTGATGCTGGAGAGATGCAGGGATATGTTCCCTTGGCTACTGACCTCCCAGAGGAATAATATTTTCTGCTCTGCCAGATATCAGCACAACGGATGCGGGAAGGAATCCCTGGCTGTCTGAGGAAAACAAAAGGAATGGCTCAATAAGACATGTTGAATCGCTCCTGATTAAATCTGAATTTCTCATCTTGTTTTCATACAGGTTCCATGTTGCTACATTTTTATTTAGGAAAGAGATTCATTATTTCTTGGCTATGATTCTAATTCATCCTTGCCGAGCTTTTTAGCCTGGCCTATGTTTTTCTCTGTTCTGCAGTCTGGCTTTCCAGTGGCCATGTCTTCTGTCACTGGGAAGATTTCCTTTTAATCATAGAATCACAGAATAATTGAGTTGGAAGGGGCTATAAGGCCATTGAGTCCAACCCCCCCCACCCGCTCAATTCTAGAATCCAAAGCAGATCTGCCAGATGGTGGTCCAGTTTTCTCTTGAATGCCTCCAGCATTGGAGTGCTCATCACCTCTCGAGGTAATTTATTCCATTGCCATACTGGTCTAACCGTTATGAGGTTTTTCCTGAATTTATTCACCCTAAATCTGGCTTCCTGTAGCTTGAGCCCATTGTTATATGTCCTGCACTCTGGGATGATGGAGAAGAAATCCTGCCCCTCCTCAGTAGGATTATCTTCCAAGTCTTTGAAAAGTGCTATCCTTTCTCCCCTCAGTCTTCTTTTCTCAAGGCTAAACACCCCCCTGTTCTTTCAGACTTTCCTCTTAGGGTTTTGTGTCCAGTCCCTTCACCATCCTTGTTGCCCTCCTCTGAACTTGCTTCAGTTTGTTGGCATCCTTCTTAAAGTGTGGTGTCCAGAACTGGACACAGTACTCAAGGTGAGGCCTAACCAGTGCTGAATAGAAGGGAACTACAGTAGCACCTCACGGGATTTGAAGACTCTATTCAATTAATGCATCCTAGAATACCATTGGCCTTTTTTTGTAAGCACTTTACACTGTTGGCTCATATTCATGAAGCTGGAGTGCTTTCATTTGAATTATCTTGAATGGATATTTAATTTTAAACTAGTTTTTAGTGTTGATCTACTAGGTAGTTCAGAACTGTAAGGAAGGAATTTATCCAGCTCAGGTTGTGCATTTGTGAGGTGGAAAGGAGACTGTGATATGGTCATTGGGAATATGGGAAATTTCCCTAATGATACATGTTCCAGTCAAGACAGCCTGTTTGGAGCGGTTGTACAGATGAGAGGGGATGAGTCAAGGAGGAGGCTGGAAGATAATCTGCTCTAGGCTTAACTTTCTTAAAAGCCTTAAGCTGAAAGCCTTACAAGCCTTCAGTTTGCCTCTGCACCTACCTTCCAGGAAGTCTGAAGCTTTCCCACCCAAGTCTACTTCTATAATGGATGTCGTGTAAAGCAGTGGTCCCCAACCTTGGGTCTCCAGATGTTCTTGAACCACAACTCCCAGAAGCCTTCACCAGCACCTCTGCTGTCCAGGATTTCTGGGAGTTGAAGTCCAAGAACATCGCCCAAGCCAAGGTTGGGGACCACTGGTGTAAAGCAAGGTGTTGTTACCTGATATCCATTAAAATTGTTTGGATGAAACGTACAATAGCCAGCATTGAGCGGAATCAGGGTGACTGGAACAGCCAAGGCAAAAGTGGAGTTGTATACACACATTCACATGCAGTCACATTCTTTCTGTGTTTTACAGTAGGACCCTCTTACCCACGGCCAAGGTTGGGGACCACTGGTGTAAAGCAAGGTGTTGTTACCTGATATCCATTAAAATTGTTTGGATGAAACGTACAATAGCCAGCATTGAGCGGAATCAGGGTGACTGGAACAGCCAAGGCAAAAGTGGAGTTGTATACACACATTCACATGCAGTCACATTCTTTCTGTGTTTTACAGTAGGACCCTCTTACCCACGGGATCAGTATCCACAGTCCTAAAATATAAAAAATATTAAAATAAAAAATAATAAAAAAACTATTTTCACATATATTACCAGAACTGGCCACTAGAGGGAGCCAGAGATTGTGCTATTAATACTGTACTTCTCAGTGAAGAATACCTAGCATTGTCTGTGGCACCCTGCCATGGCCAGTTCTGGTAATGCATGTGAATTTTTTTTCTGGTGTTTTTCCTTTTAGGTAAAGGTAAAGGTTCCCCTTGACAATTTTTGTCCAGTCGTGTCCGACTCTAGGGGGCGGCGCTCATCCCGCTCTTCAAGCCATAGAGACAGCGTTTGTCCGCAGACAGTCTTTCCGTGGTCACATGGCCAGTGTGATTTAGACACAGAACGCTGTTTACCTTCCCACCGAGGTGGTCCCTATTTATCTCCTCGCATTTGCATGCTTTCGAGCCGCTAGGTTGGAGGGAGCTGGGACAGGCGACGGGTGCTCATTCCGTCGCGTGGATTTAAACTTACGACTGCTGGTCTTCTGACCCTGCAGCACAGGCTTCTGCGGTTTAGCCCACAGCGCCACCACGTCCCTTCGTTTTTCCTTTTACCATGCTATATATTTAGTGTTAACTATTATCCATGGTTTTCAGTATCCACTAGGGGGCTTGGAACCAATCCCCAATCGGTCCTGTTGTATTTGTGCAGGCACAGAGTCATGCAAAGGTCTGTGTACAGAGTCTGAAGAAAAAGGGGCAATCAGGAGTGGTTTGGCTAGCTTGCAGAGCATGCAAAGGCCAGCCTCCACCTCCGTCTCCATTGTTTCTGGGGACTGGTTGTGAGCAGTCAGCTTCCCATCTCTCCAACTGAGGTGTGTGTGTGTGTGTGGACTGTTACTCAGTCTTATCTTATCCACCCACAATCTAGTAGAATCTCTTCTGCTTGAACTCTGACGGTACTTACCCTCTCATTGATAATGACCTTGTCTGAATTGAACATAATCTCTTTTCACCTGACCAGCTCGAAAAATTGTTGTGGTGGAACCTTCGTATTTCAAGCCAGGACAAAACAAGTGGCTTGGGTCTATTTCTGTGCAGTTTGGAAGGAGTAACTATGCTTGCAACAGTAATCAATTCTAACAAGAAGAAACAAGTTATACAGTACCCGTTTTATGATTTGCCCCGGAAGTGATCTTCAGCGGTTTGCCCTTGAACCTCTCAAACAGGACAAATTTACCTTTTGGAGCAGGCCGTTGTGAATTTGTGCTGTTTTTGTTTGCTGCCTTGGGCATATTTTATGGAGAGGTGGGCTGTAAACACAGTACATGCAGAATGAATAAATCCCAGCAATTATCGTGAAAGGCAGCTCTTGTACTCCAGCATCTGTTTCCTTTCCGGTGCTCGACTTAAAGGCTGGTTTCTCCTGTTGATTCACATTAAGGCTGGAGTGGAGTGGCTGGCCGGGAAGGATTTATTCTCACTGCATGGCTGAGAACCACTTTGGAAGAGGGCTGGGTGCAAATACATTAGATTATTGTTAAGCAGCTTATGGACATAAAAACACATTAGAACTTCATAGCGTCCTATAAATTACAGGGTTTGCAGCATGCACTTCCACAATGGGAGATAATTACATTCATTAATCTACTACTAAGAGCACATAATGTCGCCTCCCAAACAGTGCCTATGTTCAGTTCGTTCTTGGGTTGAACAGCTCAGAAAAGATTGTGCTGGGGAGAGGAGATTTCCCTCTCCTCTCTCTCTCTTACACACAGATCTTTTAAAACAACAATTGTTGTTTTATTGTAGAATGATATCTTTGGCAGGAAGCTCATGTATCCCTGCATTCATCCAAGGGCAATTTGCTGTCAAAATAATATTCTAAAGTATTATTTAGCCCAGTGGTTCCCAACCTTGGGTCTCCAGATGTTCTTGAACTGCATCGCCCAGAATTCGTGGCCAGCACAGCTGGTGGTGAAGGTTTCTGAGAGGTTTTTTTAAGTCCAAGAACATCTGGGGACACAAAGTCGGGAACCACTGGCATTGAGGAAGTGGGTTGTGACCATGGCAGCTTCAAGAACCATCCAGGTGGCTCAGTTACTGATGAGTCAAGTAAGGCAGGATGAAAACTATGGACAAGATGCATGTACATGGAGGTTTCATGTACCTATCATGTCTGATAGTCACTGGTAGACATATTCTCCCTTAAATATGAGGAGCGTCTGAAGACTGGGAACCACACGTCTTCTCTCCTTGCCTCAGGAGATCTAGCTGCTCAACATCCAGGCTCAATGCTCAGTCTCTAAAGAGGTCTCGTGGAGCCTCACCAGAACTGAGAGCTTACTCCTTACCCCAGGACTCTGGGCCCAGGAGTGGGTAAGATAGGTTGAGATCAACACCCTGAGAAGTGAGGTAGCCCCTGCTTATGGGTAGCTGGGACCTGTTTCTACAGTCACTCACTCTTCTCTCAGGCATCATCGTGGTTAGCACCTAGGACAAGCTGAAGTAGTTGCCAGAGCCGCCTTGATTCATTAGCCAGTCCTTCAGTGCTTGCTCTGTGTGTGCTTAACTCCATGAAGTTTCAAGAACCAGTGGACTCAAACGGGGACCCCTTCTGTGTGCTGCTTCCCGGTGCTAATGAGCTCCAGAACTACATGCTGAGCCTTGGCCCCAGTCATCAAAAGATGGTGTTTATCATTCTGTTCCCCCAAGGGTTCATCTGTTCCATAACTCCCGAATTTCTCTCCAACAAATATTTTGCCCAGCCCTGGTGACTAATATCCTGAGTGAGTACAGTTCTGCCAAGCAGCATCTCTTCCAGGCACTGTCTTTAGCTGCATAATAACATCATTTCCCCTCAGACCATTCCTGCGTAGCCAGCCCTGATAGCCTTCCTGCTGATTAAGTAAATGCCGAAAGCATAGATTATGAATTAAGGCTATTGACAGCACATCTTAAGGGTTATCAGAGAACATTTAATTCAATCTAGTTTAGAGATAGATCTAATGTTTAATCCTCTATACACTCTGTAATCATTTCTCTATAGATTTCCCCCCCTTTGAATGAATGCATGGTGTTTTATAAACTTTGCTGTTCACCCAGATGAGGAAGAGGAAAGAAATTCCAATATTTGATTGAACTGATAACCACATAAATGTGAAGGAGGTTAGCATTTTACCATGTGTCTCAGGTCCAGAAATTTTTCCCTACTGGAAAGGGCAGGTGTAGCATTGCTTACCTCTGCTTCCGATACCTCAAGATTAGACTACTGCAAATCACTCTCTGTGGGGTTACCCTTGCAGACAACTTGGAGGCTTGAACTGGCAGAACATGTGGCAACCAGGCTACTGACATTTCTTTCAGCACAATCATATGATACCTATTCCATACCAGTGGGTTCTGGGTTCAAAGCAAGCTATTGATGATTATTTTTAAAACCTTCCACGGTTTGGTGCCCACAGACCCAGTGCTCCTATGCCAACCGATGTTGTCTCAGACTGCCCTTTTAAATGTGCCACGTTCAGCACCAGTTTATGAGTATGACACCCATCCTCATGTTTGTAATTCAAACAAGAAACTGGGAAACCGTCTTATGCTGAGTCAGATCACGGATCTGACTGGCTGAGAGGTAGATGAACCAAGAGGTTTTCACATGCTTTGACTACAATTCCCATAACACCCCCTGGCATGGTCAGTGGTCAACAGTTCTGTAGTCAAAAGCTTCTGTCAGCTTCACTCTGGTTTAGTTTAGTGATGAGCAATAGATCATCAGGGGGTTCAATAAGCTTTTCTCCCAACAGGGATGCCAGGAATATAACCGCCAGTCTTCTGCATGCAAAACAGTTGCTCTAATATTAAGCTACATTGCTTTCTGTATTAATGGGGCAGCCACATAAGTCCGTGATGAGGTTGCTAACTTTGCATTTGAGTGTCAAAGCTTTGTTGATGCCTGCAGAACCGTGAACTTGTATATTATTTTAAAAGACAGATCTCCTCACAATAGTCACCTTGTTGTCTTCTCTTTCGCCCCCTTTATATAGAAGAACGTAGCAGTGAAGCCTCATGACTCTGTGGAGAAGCAACAAGACCCCTTGGTGAAGAAGAAACGAGATATCCTCACTAATGGACTGCCGTACCACCTGAAAAAGAATAGATTACACCATCAGTACTACGGCTCCGACCGAGAGAATGACCGCAGCCTCTGCCAGCAGCTCAGGAAACGGAAAAAGTTCTTGAAAGGGCTCAGACAGGTAAGAGACAAAATGTACCAGAGGGACCCCCTGTTTGGAGGTAATCTCTTCAAAGGAGATGTCTCATTGTCCTCTGTGACATTCTTTACTTTCTGGTTGCTTGTGCATCACCCAGGGTAGATTTGCTATCTTTGCAAGTTATTTGCCGGGCAAAGGGAATGTTGCACAGAAATTGTGCAGAGTGTGTCTTTGGTGCTGGCTGGGCTAGATTTGTTTGAAGTGGGTTGGAGCAACCTGGTTGTGAAAATGGTACTGTGAACAGTGATCAGCTCAGTCCTACAGCTTCGGTGGTCATGGGGAGCTCCGACAGGCACAAAGGCAAGTGTCTTAATTATACGCACATGGATAATGCGCAGCATAAGCCCATACAAATGATGTAAACAGAACCTGTCTTTCTACAGGTTCTACTGGGTCTATTATAAGCAGAAATGGTAGTCACTGGCAGGCTGGAAAAGGGATAAAATGCACATTCCCACAGCTTTTTCAGCTAAAATCCTTGTATTTCATTGATTTTCCAAGAGGCCGGGAGAGACTTTACATCTTGGCTATTTGTACACATCCTAGAGTTTGACTGTTAAAGGGCTCAAATGTCCTGTCTGATATACAGCAAAGTCAGCTGCCTCAGGAATGTTTGTATGAAAGCTTTTAAGAATCATTTGGGTCCTTGCTAGGTATCTCTGAAGCTCCGTGATTGCTGAGCAGGGTTTTTCTGAGGTCGCTTCATCTCTTGGGGAAGATTCTGATGTTAGCTCAAATCCAATAGATCAGAGATGCATAAAGTCTCTTGTTTTATGAGCTTGCACACAGAAGGGCCTGCAGCTCCTGCTGAATATTTCAGAGGGAAGTAGCATAAGGAAGGAAGGCTGTGGATAGTCAAGTCAATGGAAGGGCAGTGTTATCCTACGATCCTGTTTCTTGAACATTTGGTAGGGATGTAAAATCTGATTTTGTTCTCACATGATAAAGAAAAAATTCTCATCTCTGTGAAGTGGTTTTATTGTTGGTCTCAGAAAAAAAAATCAAGACTGACTGGTGTGCCTATGCAAAACGTACAGCTGCACTAATTGTTGCCTTACGGCATGGACTTGTAAAAATAGTACATTGAATTGTGGTTCTCTAAGTGGGCTAGCTGGCTTCTTCTCTTAATAGGCAGGCCGACGGGCACAAAATGGTTGCTCTTCACATTCACATGTGTGAAGGTGACAAATTGCATTTCTCTCATTGCCAACAAGAGGGCGAAAGGTTATCTCAATGAGAATCTGTTTTGCATTTGTGAAATACTTCTAGCGTAAACAACACACATTGCAGAAAGCTGTTATTTTCCTTCATGGAATTCTAAGAACTGAAAGCATCAGATGGGTCGTTTGTGTCTTTGTGACAAATCAAATCTGATTGTGTTATTCTGTGTGAGTGCCCATCTGTCTGCTTAGTTTCAGAAAGGGGGAATGGCAGTATTGCTAGATTTTCTTTTGCAAATTACTGGGGGGGGGTGGAGAAGAAAACTGGCTGATGTCTTAGTTTACTGGAGACAAGATGCACACATGCACCATGAGATCTCATGGTGTATGTGTGCATATTGGTTTGGATGATTGTATTTCTTTCAAAGTTTCAGGATTTGGTGCATTGCTTTCCCAGGGAGGAAGACCTTTCCTTCCAAAGTAGACCTACTCTCTTGGTGGCCTCTTCTGAGATACCTTTGAGTGCAGCTGATTGTCACCTGGAGACTTCTAATCATAGATGTGCTTTCATTCTGTGGAGTTCTAAGTGACTGGGAGATGATCTGGTGTCTTCTTCCAGTTCAGTCACAGAGCCACCTTCATTTGGGAGCTCATTTCCCTGCAACTCCTGCGGTCCAGAGTTTTCAGGATCCAGCAGTCACTCTCCCGTGTCATCTTAGCAGGTTTCAAACCTTGAGAAGGATTAAATGAGATGACGTATGGATTGCTTCCAACTTTATGATTGTCTGAGTAAGAAAGGGGGAGTGGTCAGGAGGATCATGTTCTTCCTTATATGTATTCCAACAAAAGTCTGAACTTACCTGCAGGCTATCTTGAAGGCTTGATAGAAAGCAAAGATGGGAGATAGTTAGATAAAATAATATGAATTGCACTGACAGATTTGTGCAACTTTCTGTCAGATCTGCTTTGATTTGGATTCCTGAATTAAGCAGAGGTGTTGAACTCAATGGCTTTATAGGCCCCTTCCAACTCAATTATTCTAGGATTCTATGATTGTAGAACCGAAGAACTTAACACTGAGTTAGGGAATCATATTATACGGTATCGTATTATATACTTCATCACTCCAATGTGAGTGTTCATGGCATAAAGTTATCAACATGACATATCCCTTTGATACCAGGGAGTTGGACCTGAGGACCTTATAGAGTTCTCCCAACTGCATTATTCTGTGATACTATGAATCCACACTCACCCCTGCTGGAGAAGGAAATGAGGCAAGCTTAAATTTAAGGTTGTTATTTTTCCCATTTTTTTAAAGCCCTGCTGGCTCCAAGGCATCATCTCCAAGCCAAGGGAGATGGGATGATGTCCAAAGAAACCACAGCCCAGGGGATTCCTTTGGTCACCTCTCCCATGTGTCTTGGCTCTGAAACGACCCGTCAGAGCCAGCATTTAAAAAGAAAAAGCAGAAAGCTCTAATTTATCCACTTTCCATGCTGCAATGCTAATTCACTACCCTCTGCTTTTTCCTTGTGCTGATGCTGCAGTTCCCAAGGTCAACAGCCTCTGGTCCCCCATACTGCCCAGTGGGTGGCATCCCATTCTCCCCCTTCGGCAGCAGTGGAGCCTTTACACCAGGGATGTTGGCAGGTCTTTGGGTGCGAGTCCCAAATCTGAATCTTTGACACCAAGTTCCAAGTGGGAGTTTTTATTAAAAACAAGTCTTTTTCCCCCCCAGAAAAAAGGGAGAGGTGGGTGGATGGATTAGGAATTGCAAGTCAAGTCATTAAAAAAAAAAACAACAACAAGTTGGCTCTGAGTAACTGGTCCAACTTGATAGCCAATCCCGGGACTCAAGTCCCCATCCCTGATTTATCTTCTTTGGCCACCGGACATCAGGAAGAGTGTGAAGGTACCACTGCTTACAGTGGAGGAGGATTGGATCTCTTCCCCTCACGGGGTGGGCAAGGCAAAGTAAAGTGGTACTCAGTGGCACGTCTCCAAGTATTGCTAGGATGGTAGTGACAGAGACGTGCCTTTGCCCTCCAGCGCTTGGCTGCCACCCTACTTCAGCTACAAGGTGTGCCAGCTCTCCCTCAGAGACAGGGATATCATGACTTTCAGTAACTGAGACTTCCTCATCCCATCCCATGGCTACCATTTTTTTGAGCCAACAGGGGAGAAAAAGCAAAGTAATGTAAAAACTGGATATGGAACGACTGATTGGTTCAAAATTGGGAAAGGAGTACAAGGCTGTATATTGTCTTCCTGCTTATTTAACTTATATGCAGAATACATCATGCGAAAGGCAGGACTGGATGAATCTCAAACTGGAATTAAGATTGCCGGAAGAAATATCAGCTACCTCAGATACGTAGATGATACCACTCTGATGGCAGAAAGTGAGGAGGAATTAAAGAATCTCGTAATGATGGTGAAAGAGGAGAGTGCAAAAAAAATGGTCTGAAGTGCAACATCAGAAAAATTGGGAATCGCTCCAGCTTGGACACAAAAACTGTCCTACAGCTGAACCAAAAAGGGCGTCAGAAAAATTGGGAATCGCTCCAGCTTGGCCACAAAAACAGTTGTCCTACAGCTGAACCAAAAAGGGCACGGATCGGGGTCAGGCTGGAGTGCAATTCCCTGTAGGTTGTGGGATCACCGGGCAACAGATTGTGCCATACTGTTCCACAAGCTGTCCAAAACACTATCTATTTTCACATGTGATTACACCCTGTGTCTGATACAGGCTTTGATGTCATGTTGGATACATCAGGATTTGAACCTCTGCTTATCTTGTTCTCATCCATAGCAGCGGGCAACTACAATATGCTTTCTCCTTGCTTGGAAGACATAAGATTTCCTGCCCAGAGCATTTGTAAGGAAGATTTATGTGTGGATTATTCAATTGTGCACAACTATAACAACTGCTGTCTTGTCCTGACTTTAAACATCTGGAAGCATTTTAAGGGTTGTTTCTGTCTTTTTTATCAATCACCCAACCCTTCTCCAGCTGTGCTTTGCTCCATGGAGGAAAAAGATACTAGTTTTGCAGAAAACTATTTTGAGCAAATGCCGACAGTTTCTGTGGGCAAAAAAACCCTACACCTTATCTCACTCTCACCTGCAGGCAAAAATTTTGCAGGAGTTTTTTTAATGAGCTCTCAAAAGAAGGCGATGGCAGCGAGAAAATGAATGAGAATTTTTTCACATCCCTAGGCATATATCATTTTTCTCCATTTGGCACTAGGAACTGTTCCCGTAGCAGTGAGAAAAACTTTATTTCAACATGCAGCATTTGCCTTTGTTGTGAGTGAAAGAAACCCAGCTGCCAAAACAGGTTGTGGTGCTGAGAATAACACATTTTATGCCTCCAACAATTTATCTGCGATTATGCACATTTCTGTAGAGCCTTAGGTGGTTGCAAGGAGCTGGAGGAGGAGAGGAAAGAGGAAGTCACATGACATGTGTTACAGCAGCAGTTGGAGAAGCAAAGCAGATAAGTTTGGGTTGCCTCTTGCTGAGACATTCCAAGGAGAGCTGACAGCAGTGACAAGCGATTTACAACATGCTAATTAGAATTTGGATTTGCAGACTTGCATTGACATGTGAGTGCTCTTTAGCAATGGCTTTCATTACCGCCTGTCCATAACCACTAATTGAAAAGAAAGCTGTGGTAGATTTCCAGCACAGGAGGAGAGAATGAATCATATGAATGTATTAAATAGACAAGCGTCCATAATGGTTTGTTTTGGCTCCAGTTTTAAGACTCGGCTGCACCAAAATGTAGGCACAGCCGTGCTGTGAATCTCTTTAAAT